CAGCGTTACAACTTCCTGGGGGAAGAGTTCAGTTCATGAATGTGTTGTAATTTCTGTGAAGGGTATCTAAAGTCCTTAAAAACATCCATGAATGAATCCTTTCAACAGTACTTGGAAGGAAGTCAGGGACTTCACCATTAAAACTGAGCCAACACAGTAATGAAATTCAATGACCACCACAGGAGACATATGAATGCCTCAGGGCAGAACAAAGGCCAGCAGAATCAGCCAACAGCGGTTACTTGCATAAAATGCATTTACCTGAATAGGAACTTGAATGGTTTTCAAGGAATGACAGTCCCCTTCCAGAAAGAGTCATGTGTTCGTTATTCATCCAGTAACACTAAGAATCTAAATTTAAATTTTAGTTTAGTTTGGGATTGGTGCTGGACTTTAGGGAATAATCATATCAGGGCTGGATTATCCTAGTTAGTGATGATCTGAGGAAACATCGCATTTCTTCAGATGGAAGAAGGGAGCACCGGCAGCTTGCCTTTTCTGAAAGCTTTGATTACAGAAGTATAGGTCCCTGATGCTTAAAGGGACCTTACAGCATGTCTGATTCAACTGCCTTTTATAGGTGAAGAATTGATTGCTGTTAACCTGATAACATAGAAATTGCCTGCCCTATTTTGTGAAAAGCATCCTACTCTAGAAGTAGGAAATAATGGAGTAGGAACCTAGGCACTAAATTATAGTTGTTATATTATTAGGACAAAGTGTGTATGTCCACAGGACAGACAGAAATGGATGCTCTGGACCCCATCCACTTGCTTTCTATTTATTCCTGTGCCATTTTCTCATAAAAAGTGGATGGCCTCTTTAAGTTTCCTTTGGGGAATGTGTAAGTGCCTACAGATCTTTGTGTTCACATTAAAATATATTTTTTTGTTTTTACTTTTTGGAAAAATAACTTAAAGTCTGCTCAGAGACGACTCAATTTCTTCATTTAAAAAATGAGATAAGACACACTATTTTTAGATGGTATTTTTGACTTTCCAAATGGACAATGTAAAGTACTTTCAAAAACAGTGCTTTGTAAAAGAAACAGGTTATTCTATTTACTTTATGTACACATTTCATGTATTTCTTCAGCAAATATTTATGAAGCACTTACTAGCATGATCACAATTTCAGTTAAATAGTTGAGTACAGTAGTCCCCCCTTTTATCCATGGGTTCATTTTCCACATTATTCATTTTAAGTATTAGTTATAGTTAATATTTCACTGTGCCTAATTTATAAATTGAACTTTATCATATGTATGTACAGGTAAAAATAAAACACGCATACACAGGTTTCAGTACTATCCATGGTTTCAGTCATCCACTGGGGGTCTTAGAACATATCCCCTTGGATTAAAGTGAACTACTGTAATTAATTTCTTACTGCCTGTATCAGTCACTAGAATTCTAACTTTCTGGGAAAAGGTATTTCTTCTCTTTTGTTCTCTAATGCTCAGCACCCTGCGTGGCTGGCATTTAAAAGGCTAACAAATATTTGTCGAATGGATGGATGAATGCATGAATGAAAAACCAAATGAATAATGAAAACATAAGAGTATAATACACTTTAACACGTACTATATTGGGCTTGCATAGTACTATGGAAATTTATAGCAGGAGCATTTAAAGCCAGCCTTGACGGGGCTAATCTCCGGAAGAGCAATTAATCTTTTCAAAATCCGACTCTTGCAGGATACAGTCCCCCACTGGCCTGCCACTAGTTTAAAACGAATTATTTTCTGTGAAATATCAAGATCGTGCCAATATTAGGGCATCAATAAGATTGGTTGAATGAGTCAAAGGCCTGCGCGGACAAGTCCAATTAGAACACCTCTGGCTAAAAGCCAGAATGAATGAAAGGGTTCATTCCTTGGTGTAGACGCAGAACTGGGACTGAAAATCTGCCCCAAGCCTCCACGTAGACTTTGGCTCCACCTGCAGCAGCGGCGCCCTAGTCACGTGACCCGGGCCAGCCCTCCCTAGGCGCCTGGGCCAGCCTGCGCCTGCGCAGTACTCCGAGACAGCGGACCCGTGTCAGTGACAGCTTCCGGTTTGGTTTCTCCGCCTTCTGCTTGGCTAGAGCTATTGGGGCTCGGCGGCGGCCGCAGTGGGGTGGAGGGGGCAGGGCGTGGTGAGGTAAGGTGAGTGCCGTAGTGGGGTTCCCCGGAGCCATGGCCTGCTCCATTGTCCAGTTCTGCTACTTCCAGGACCTCCAGGCCGCCCGGGACTTCCTCTTTCCTCACCTGCGGGAGGAGATCCCCAGCGGCGCCTTGCGGAGGGACCCCAGTAAGTGCCTCTCACCTCTCCGTTCCTTCCCCCGTCACCCGCGGCCTCTGCTCGGCGGGTTCGGGTCTCCTACTCGCTCTGCGCCTCCTGCCTCTGCCCTCTGGACCCCCAGTTCTTCCCGTGCCTCCCCTCTGTTCCGGGATGAACCCCTGCCCACCTCGTCCTGAAGCCCCATTTGTGTTGTCTTCCTCTCGACCCAGCTATTCTCCTCAGCCCCTCTGATCCCTGGCCCAAAACTGCGTCTCGTTTCCTCTCGCCTCTGCCTATCACCACTTCCTCCCTCCCCCCTCCCCCCACATTCCTAGCTTTCTCTCTAAGTATCTTCTCCGTCTCCCATCTTCAGCCTGGGGTCGTCCCTTGTTTCATGTTGCCTGCTCCGTGATCGCATCCTCCCCGTTCCTTGCCACATGTCAGCGCTCCACTCTGGTATTGCCCCAGCGCCCACTCTTCCATCCCGGGGACTGTGGCCTTCTACCACCTCTCGTTCCGAAAGTGTTGATCATCCCCCCACACTCTCCCTTCTTTCATCCGCGTTTCCCCCATTCAGATTTTGAGAACAAATGGCTGACTGACAAATGAGTGACTCTTAAGGTGGTAAGAGTCTCTCAAAGAAGGAAAATAACCTGTCGGGAAGTGAACGAGAATCTACATTAGGAACTAAAATTACAGTGACATAGCCAAGAAAGGTTAATTTGCTTTATTGGGATGAGAAGCCTTCCACCTATTTTTATCATCAAAGTGTTAAATAAGCCTTTCCCCACGTAGTATAAAGTTCCAAGGCTGGTTTCTTAGATACTACATAGGCTCTCAGAATTTCCTACATTTCATCTTTTGAAAGGGTGTGCCTTGTGTTTTATTTTATTTTATTTTTGCATTTCCAACATGAAGCACGTTTGGCTTTGTAGTACAGTGTTCTCACTCTGTGCTATGCCGGAACGGTGATATAAGGCCCACTAAGCTCTTCTCCCTTTAAAAAAAAATTTAGAAGATATCAAATCAAACCCATCTGTGAATGATTACATACTCTGTGCCAGTCATTGGTGCTACAAACCAAATAAGGTTGGTGGACCCTGCCTCTAGGAACTTATGGTTTACAGACAAATCACTAACTTCCATTCAATGTGATTGAGATAGATGTGAGGCATTTTCTTCAAGTGGTGATACTTAAGCCTACCTTTGAAGTACTAGTTAGAGGAGTAAAGGAGCGGTAATAGCATGTGCAGAGGAAGGACTGAAATGGCATGGTATTTAGAGAACTAAGAAAAGCTGAGTGGCTAGAGACGAGGATGGGAGAGGAAGAATTGGGGCAATGAGGCAGTAATAGTGATAAGGAGCTAGACCATGAGAAGCCCTGTGAAAGTTGTGGCGTTTCTCTGAAAGTTTAAGTAGAGAAATGACATTGTCAGATTTGTACTTAATGTAATCAACAACGTTTGTTGAAGACCCGTAATGTGCTCTGGTAGCAAAGTGGAGGAGAGATTGGAAGAAGGGAAATGGACTGGGAAGCTCTTCCAGTAATCCAAGCAAGAAATGATATGAGCTTGAATTAAGAACCTTAGCAGGATGAAGATGAAGGACTAGATTAGAAAGACATAAAGGAGTTAGAATCTGCAGGACCTTCTGAAGGTCTGGTGATGGGCATTGTAACTAGTAAGTGAGGGGGAGTTTAGGAAGTCTTTGGCTTGTGGTTTGGACAAGTGTATATAATAAGAGAATAAAGGATACAGATTTTCAACCTTTCGCATTTTAAATGTTTACAGTATGTCCAAGTAAGGACATCTGGTTGAACACCAGATATAGATAGTCTAAACAGTAGGGAGTACTGGGCCAGAGACGTTAATTGGGGAGCTAACAGCAAAAACTGTAAATTCAGTCTCAAAGATTATGTATGTTGTGAAATGCACTGAGTACTAAAGCTGTAAACTTAGAGGAGCACTGGTGTTTAAAAGTCAAGTAGAGGTTACTGGGAAGAAGACTGCGAAGGAGTAAAAGAAAGAGGAAAATCAGGTGAGAGTAAGGCCCTTGGAGCTGAGGAAGGTGAGAACTTGATGAAGGTGAGGAATAGTCAGCAGTTTTGCAAATGCAGCAGAGGTCAGGTAAGAAAAGGATAGAAAAGTGCTCATTGGTTTTGGGAAGGTGGAAGTAACTTGGACCTTAGGACAGTTTCAGTAGGATAGTGGAGGCAGAAAGCATATTTATAGGATAAGGGGTTAAAAAGTGAAGTATACTATTTCAAGGAGCTTGGCTGTGAAGGATAGCAGATGCAGGATTGTAGATAGGGAATGTAGAAAAAAGGAACAAATTTTCTTTATCCCTCTACCACTCTCCTGGTCCAGGCCATGATCTTTTCTCAACCTGGGCTATGATATGATATGTCTTCTTCTAGCAGATCTTCCTGCTTTCACTCTTGGTTTCCCATAATAATTCTCAACAGTAGGTAGAGTGAGCTTTTAAGACATAATTTAGATCAAAACATTGCCTTTTTTCTTTTTCTTTTTTTTTTTGATATGAGGTCTCACTCTGTTGCCCAAGCTGGAGTGCGGTGGCATGATCTTGGCTCACTGCAACCTCCACCTCCCGGGTTCAAGCAATTCTTCCGTCTCAGCCTCCCAAGTAGCTGGGACTACAGGCATGCGCCACCATGCCCGGCTAATATTTGTATTTTTAGTAGAGATGGGGTTTCACTATGTTGGCCAGGCTGATCTTGAACTCCTGACCTTGTGATCCACCTGCCTCAGCCTCCCAAAGTGCTGGGATTACAGTCATGAGCCACCGCACCCAGCTTAACATTGCCCTGTTTATAACCCTGTATGGTTTTTGATTTCACTTAACATAAAATCCAAAGTTCTTAAATGGTGTATAAGGCCCTTGAGACTCTGCTTCCTGCCATTTCTTGGACCTTATACACCTCTCCTCTTATTTCTTATGCTTCAGACACTCTTTTTTGTTGTTAAACCAGCCAACCACATTTGTGGCTGAGGTTTTTGCCCTCACTGTTGTCTATGCCTTGGATGCCTTTTGCAGATCTTTGCATGCTAGTTGCATCTTGTCATTCAAGTCTCAGCTCAAATGTCAACTCAGGGCAGCCTTTTCTGACCACCTGATCTAAAGTAGTCAATACAACCCCCTTGTTCCCACTTGTTATTGTCCGTCATATCATCCTGTTTATTTTCATCATTATATCTATACTGTCCAGTATGGTAACCTGTAGGCACATGTGTTTATTGAGCCTTTGAAATGTGGCCAGTGCAACTGAGGAACTGAATTTTTAAAATTCAAGTTAATTTTAATTAATTTATATTTAAGTAGCCAAATGTGGCTAATGGCTATAATATAGTATGGCACAGTTATAGGTGCTAAAACTCAGGTATATACAGATTGAATATGTGTCCAACTTACACAGGCAGTTGGGGATATAAATATACCCCAAACATCTAGATTAATTTGCACTATACCTATAGATTTACAAATACGGTTTAATGTACTACTCTTCTAAATCAAATTCTTGAGTTTGTGTATGTTGATATTATTGTGGCTATGATCAATTCATGTAGAAAATGAACAGAATGGACCTCTTCACCAGTGAGGCCCTTTGCAAAACCTGTACAGATGATCTCAGACTTATGATGGTTTGGCTTCCAATTTTTTAGCTTTACAGTAATGTGAAAGCAATGTGTACTTTGTAGAAACCATACTTCAAGTTTTGCACCTCGATCTTTTCCAGAGCTAGTGATACAGTGGGTAAGATACTCTTTTGTGATGCTGGGTAGCAGCAGCAAATATGAGAGACTGTACTCTACAGTGTACAGTATTCAAGAAATTACATGAGATATTTTCAACACTTCCTTATAAAATAGACTTTGTGTTAGAAGATTTTGCCCAACTATAGGCTAATGTAAGTGTTCTGAGCACTTTTAAGATAGGCTAGGCCAAGCCGTAATATAAAGAGTTTTGAACGTAAACTTTTGTACAGTGAAATTTTACAGATAAAAAATGAAATTAGCAGAGCAGGTAAATGGGACCTGACTTAAACTGCTGATGGTATTTGCCTTTGCTTTTCTTCACTTTATTTATTAATGTTATAAATGTTTATTGGGAAGCAGAAATCATGAGATCATCTTAAAATTTTTTAGCTGATATAGTTTTAATTTCTTAACCCAGCTCATCTCTAGAGGATATGTAAAAACATAAAACACCCCAATTACTTGTGAATTATAGAGGTGTATCAGTTGGTTTAAAAGTACTTTTATTGGGCTGAGCTCTTGGAAGACTGAGGTCCTAGGGTCACAGGCATCATGGACCAATCTAAAGAAAACTACATTTCAGGGCCTGTTAAGGCTACATCTCCAGTTGGAGGTCCAAAACATGTTCTCGTGACTCAGCAATTTCCTTGTCAGAATCCATTACCTGCAAATAGTGGCCAGGCTCAGTGGGTCTTGTGTCCTTCAAATTCTTCCCAGCGTGTTCCTTTGCAAGCACAAAAGCTTGGCTCCAGTCACAAGCCAGTTCAGAATCAGAAACAGAAGCAATTGCAGGCAACCAGTGTACCTCATCCTGTCTCCAGGCCACTGAATAACACCCAAAAGAGCAAGCAGCCCCCGCTGTCGGCACCTGAAAATAATCCTGAGGAGGAACTGGCATCAAAACAGAAAAATGAAGAATCAAAAAAGAGGGAATGGGCTTTGGAAGACTTTGAAATTGGTCACCTTCTGGGTAAAGGAAAGTTTGGTAATGTTTATTTGGCAAGAGAAAAACAAAGCAAGTTTATTCTGGCTCTTAAAGTGTTATTTAAAGTTCAGCTGGAGAAAGCAGGATTGGAGCATCAACTCAGAAGAGAAGTAGAAATACAGTCCTACCTTCAACATCCTGATATAATCAGACTGTGTGGTTATTTCCATGATGCCACCAGAGTCTACCTAATTCTGGAATATACACCACTTGAAACAGTCAATAGAGAACTTCAGAAACTTTCGAAGTTTGATGAGCAGAGAACTGCTACTTATATCACAGAATTGGCCAATGCCCTGTCTTACTGTCATTCAAAGACAGTTATTCATAGAGACATTAAGCCAGAGAACTTACTTCTTGGATCAGCTGGATAGCTTAACATTGCAAATTTTGGGTGGTCAGTACATGCTCCATCTTCCGGGAGGACCACTCTCTGTGGCACCCTGGACGACCTGCCCCCCGAAATGATTGAAGGTCGGATGCATGATGAGAAGGTGGATCTCTGGAGCCTTGGAGTTCTTTGCTATGAATTTTTAGTTGGGAAGCCTCCTTTTAAGGCAGACACATACCAAGAGACCTACAAAAGAATATCATCAGTTGAGAATTCACATTCCCTGACTTTGTAACAGAGGGAGCCAGGGACCTCATTTCAAGACTGTTGAAGTATAATCCCAGCCAGAGGCTAGTGCTCAGAGAAGTACTTGAATACCCCTGGATCACAGCAAATTCATCAAAACCATCAAATTGCCAAAACAAAGAACCAACTAGCAAACATTCTTAGGAATCGTGTGGGGGGAGAAATCCTTGAGCCAGTGCTGCCGTATAACCTGTCAGGAACATGCCACCGAGATTTATTTTACCATTGACTGCTGCCCTCAATCTAGAACACTACAAAGAATATTTGTTTTACTGAACAGGTGTGGCTTGACCTCCCTACTCAGAAAACTCCACATCAATAAACATGACACTCTGAAGTGAAAGTAGCCACGAGAATTGTGTTAACTGGTTCATAACCTGGAGGAAAGGTTCGACTGCAGCCACCCCGTCAGCCTGTGCCAGGCATGGTGTCCTCCCAGGAGGCAAATCCAGAGTCTGGCTGTGGGGAAAGTGACCACTTTGCCCTGACTCAATCGGCTAAGGAGCTGTCCAATAACCTTCCAAGTACCTGAGTGTGTAACTTATTGGGTTTACCAAACCTAGTAAAACTGTTGGAATGAGTATGTGATTCTTTTTAAGTATGAAAATAAAGATATTTGTACAGAAAAAAAAAATTACTTTTATTTTAATGTGGACAGCTGCTAGAGATACAGTGCTACTACTCTCTTCTATATTTGAATTATCAAGGTATGACTTTATGTTACTTTGTATATTTAATTACAAAAGAAGACTGTCCTCTATAGCTTTAAAAGATGCTGAGCCCTACCCTTTCCCAATGTTTGCATTAATGACAACTGTTAATAATTGTTTTTATACGGTGGTGGGTGCATGTAGTCCCAGCTACTCGGGAGGATGAAGCTGGAGAATGGCATGAACCCAGGAGGCGGAGCTTGCAGTGAGCCAAGAACGCACCACTGCACTCCAGCCTGGGCGACAGAGCGAGACTCCATCTCAAACAAAACAAAACAAAACAAAAACAAAAAACAGAAAACAAAAAAGAATTGTTTTTATAAAGTAAATACTATCTACTTAAGACATGAAGTCTGGTCTTACTGCTTTGTGGCTTTTTTGTTTTGTTTTTGTTTTTTGGAGACAGGGCCTCACTCTGCTGCCTAGGCCAGAGTGCAGTGGCGTGATCATAGTTCACTGCAGCCTCAAACTCCTGGATTCAAGGGATCCTCCCACCTCAGTCTCCTGTGTTACTAGGACTGCAAGTACGCACCACCATGCCCAGATAATTTTTTCAGTTTTTATTGAGATGAGGTCTTACTGTGTTGCCCAAGCTGGTCTTGAACTCCTGGGCTTAAGTGATCCTCCCACCTGGACTCCCAAAGTGCTGGAATTATAGGCATGAGCCACTCTCCCTGGTTTATTACTTTGAAATTGCAGGGATGGGTAGAGTATAGGTACCCACTTTATGGGTCCCCAGTTAACCTACAGTGACGTAATTTCCAATGACTAGACCAGAACTTTCTGAAATTTACAGTTGAGTTGGGCAAACATATAAATAAATAAATAAATAAATAAATAAATAAATAAATAAATAAATACATGAACAGAGAGGGAGAGCCAGAATAGTTGGAGATAATTTGGGTATTATAATATTGTAGATTTCTTGATTTACCTAATAGTAAAATAATTTCTTGTTGACATACTAAAAATGTAGAACAGCTCTCCTTCTTGCCTCTTTTACCAACCAGAATATAAAGCAAGTAGGGAATTATGTTGAAATAATCAATTCATGTTTTTAAGCAATCTCTGAGAAAAATGTGCTTTATTTAGGATAACCTAAAATCATAGAATCACTTTACATAATGGAATATCACAAAGGATATGAAATACTCTATTTTTTATATGTAGTAAAAATATTTTCTCTAGTTTGAGATCATACTAGGAGAGAAAATAATCTGAAAATAGAACATTTGTAGAAATTTAAGAAAATATATAGAGCTATTGGGTTTCTTTAAAATTGGAAGAGGATCATACAGATACAATTTTACCAGTGAGGAAATTGAGATTTGAGTGTTCTTCAGTTTCTTCATTCAGCTAATATTTATTGAGCATCCACTATGTTCTAAGCACAAAATTAGTTAAAAGGTAAATAAAATATGTCCCTCAAGCAATTTTCAGATAATAAAAGAAGATACATATGTGAAACAATTGTCAGGGGTGTTATGCTATGATATGGCACACGATGGGGGAGAAGGAATGTTGGTCTAGTCTATCCAGGAAACCCAGAAAGTCTTCATATAGGAGGTGATATTTTCACATTAATAGTTTAAAGGTGTCCATCAGATGGAGAGAAGATAGACAACAGATGTGAAACAGTATGGGATTCAGAAAGCTGCAAATAGTAAATTGTGGTGGAAGGGTGGGATATGATAAGAGATAAAATAGAAGAGGTTGGTGAAGGAGTTTAGATTCTATTCAGTAGCAGGGTCTTTAGATTGAAGTAAGAGTACCTTAGGATCGTGGAAATTTTTAAAGGTTGCTTGGGAACAGATGATTTTAAGTAAATCATTTTCCACATGTACCTGTGAAAGTGCCTACTGTCCCACCCCACCTTCTACCACTTTACCTCTGACACGTTTGTAGTCTTATTATAGTAAGTTGCTTCAAGGTGTAAAAAAACCTTCCCATTTAATCAAAGTGTTGTGAATTCCTCCATTCATTTTATTACGGGTTTTCCAATTTTACTTTTTGTTTAATTATCAAGATATATAGTACATTTATGTTGTTTTCCTCATTTATTTACTTATAATAATTGCAATAACTCAAGCAAGAAGAAAATTGTTCATACTTAAGAGTCTTATGATTACAGGAAAATGTTTTCTCAATTCATATCCTTTTTTGCAGAGAAAGTTTTGTACTGATAATAATAAAAATCTATGTTTATTAGAATAGCATTCTGTGGAGGAAATAGAATAGAAATAAGTATTTAAGGAGAATGAAGGACTTGTAAAAACTGTTGAGAAGATCAGCATTTTTTTTTAATGGATGTTGGTGGGTATCATTTCCCTATAGTGTTTAGAATCCACTAAGTTTTAAAAAATAATAGTTTTATTTTAAAATGTGCATGTTTATAGTATAACTGAAACTACATATTTTTTGCAAGGGATACATACTAAAAAATTGTTTTGGGGCATATATGAACAAAAAATTTGAAGGCCATTCTCCTGTAAGGCTCAGTGATTCCCAATCTTTTTTTTTTCTTTTTTTTTTGTTGGCATAATAGCGTACATTAAAAAAAAAAAAAAAAAAAAAAAAAAAAGACATATGGACCCCAAACAGCTAAAACAATTTTGGAAAAGAAGGAAAAAGTTAGAAGATTCACACTTTCTGATTTCAAAGCATATTGCAAATATGCTCAATAACAACAACAAAACTCAAACTGTATGATACTGGCATAAAGACAAACAAACCAATGGAATGGAATAGATAGCTAATATGGTCAAGATGATCTTCAGCAAGTGTACGAGGAGCATTCTTTGGGGGAAAAGACAGCTTCTTCAACATGTGATGTTAGAGGAAATGACTATCCATATGCAAAAGAATGAAATTGAATCCTTACACCATATACAATAATTAAATAAAGGCCTAAATGCAGCACGTAACACTAAAACTTCTAGAAGAAAACATAGGAGAAAAGCTTCATGACATTGGACTTGCATGCTTTTGGCTATGACACCAAAAGCATAGGCAGCAGAAGCAAAAGTGGACAAATGGGGCTACACTAAGCTTAAAAACTTTGTGCATCAAAGGACACAACAGGGTGAAAAGGCAGCTTTCAAAATGGGAGAAAATATTTGCAAATCATGTATCTGATATGGGATTAATATCTAGAATATATAAAGAATTCCTGCAGCTCAATAACAACAACAAAAAATCAACCCTATTTAAAATGAGCAAAGGACTTAAGTATACATTTCTTCAAGGATGGTATACAGATGACTAAAAAGAATATGAAAAGATGCTCAACATCGCTAATCATCAGAGTGATGCAAACCAAAACATAATGAAATGTTACACTTATTAGAAATGGCTACTATCAAAAAAACCAAAGTAACAGGATATGGTGAGGATGTGGAGAATTAGAAACTTTTGTGCACTGTTGGTGGGATAATAAGATGGTACAACCACTATGGAAAAAATATAGAGTTCCTCAAAAATTTTTAAAAAATTATATGATCCAGTAATCTCACTTCAGGGTATATATACAAAAGAATTAAAAGCAGGGTCTTGAAGAGATGTTTGCACACCTGTGTTCATAGACAGTTCACAGTAGCCAAGAGGTTGGAAGCAACCCAAATGCCCATCGATGGAGGAATGGATAAACAAAATGTGGTATTATACACACAGTGGAATACTGTTTAGCCATTAAAATCAAGGAAATATCACATGCTATAACATTAATGAATCTTGTTAAATTATGCTAAGTGAAATATGCCAGTCACAAAAAGACAGCTTCTGTATGATTCCACTTACGTGAGAAAGCTAAAGTAGTAATTTATAGAAACAAAAAATAAAATGGTGGTTACCAGAGGCTGAGGGAAGGGAGAACGGGAATTGTTTCATGATACAGAGTTTCAGATTTGCAAGATGAAGTTCTGGAGATCTTTTATTTATTTATTTATTTATTTATTTTTTATTTTTTTTACAACATTGTGAGTACACTTAACACTACTGAACTGTCCACTTAAAATGGTTAAGATGCCTGCCGGGGCGGAGGCGGACCAGGGGCGGGCCGTTGGCAGCCTCCGCCCCCTCAACCTTCGCGGGGTGCGGGCGGCAGCTTTTTGGTTCACAGCCGGGCAGCGAGAACCGCGGGAAGGGCTCTCCAGGCGAGAGACGGACGCCAGGCGTCGTGGCAAGGAAAAGTGACTAGCTCCCCTTCGTTGTCAGCCAGGGACGAGAACAGAGCCACGCTCCCACCCGGCTGCTCACGATCCCTCGGCGGCGATGTGGGCCGCCGGTGCCCGAGGCCTGCGAGCCACCTACCACCGGCTTCTCGATAAAGTGGAGCTGATGCTGCCCGAGAAATTGAGGCCGTTGTACAACCATCCAGCAGGTCCCAGAACAGTTTTTTTCTGGGCTCCAATTATGAAATGGGGGTTGGTGTGTGCTGGATTGGCTGATATGGCCAGACCTGCAGAAAAACTTAGCACAGCTCAATCTGCTGTTTTGATGGCTACAGGGTTTATTTGGTCAAGGTACTCACTTGTAATTATTCCAAAAAATTGGAGTCTGTTTGCTGTTAATTTCTTTGTGGGGACAGCAGGAGCCTCTCAGCTTTTTCGTATTTGGAGATATAACCAAGAACTAAAAGCTAAAGCACACAAATAAAAGAGTTCCTGATCACCTGAACAATCTAGATGTGGACATGACCATTGGGACCTAGTTTATTATTTGGTTATTGATAAAGCAAAGCTAACTGTGCATTTGGAAGGCACAATAAAACTAACTGCAACTGGTAGCTAGTGCTTGATTCAATAGAAAAATAAAGCAAACTTAATAACAGTCTCTCTACATGACTTAAGGAACTTAGCTATAGATATTAGTAACATTTTTCTACCATTTGTCCATAATAAACCATACTTGCTCATAAAAAAAAAAAATGGTTAAGATGATACATTTTTTTTTTTCTTGAGATGGAGTCTTGCTCTGTCGCCGAGGCTGGAGTGCAGTGGCGTGATCTCGGCTCACTGCAAGCTCTACCTCCTGGGTCCACGCCATTCTCCTCCCTCAGCCTCCCGTGTAGCTGGGACTACAGGTGCCTGCCACCACGCCTGGCCAATTTTTTTTTTTTTTTGTACTTTTAGTAGAGACGGGGTTTCACCATTTTAGCCAGGATGGTCTCGATCTCCTGACCTTGTGATCTGCCTGCCTTGGCCTCCCAA